CATTGAGCTCTCTAGATTTTATCCTCCTTGGGTTTACCCATACGGATTACCTAGTTTTTCATAAACTATATATATATATATGATTCTTGGAAGGTACGAACTCTCCAGGACAACAACTCAGTACCAGAAAGAAAAAAAGCTCTGGTCGCATTGGAAGCTAAAGATGTACAACATTGATATAGCTGCACTTAGAAGTAAGCATCAGCCGACTACATGAAACGAGAAAGCAAAATAAGACATCTAGAAGTGTTCCTGCTGCACTTGGATACAATATATTCTCCTGTGGTCTTTTGTGCAATTCTCGAGCCGGTCTCAAAAGTCATGCTCGTCATAGGTATGAAGATAATTAGTTATATATATATATATATATATATATATATATATATATATATATATATATATTCAAATGGTGGGTGTTATAGAGTTGGTAGCTAGGATTATGTATTTGATTTTGTCATGGTTGCTAGGATTACTATTATCTGTGGTTTTTCTGTCTTTTCTATTTTTTCTTCTGGATTTTTTGTGTGCTTTGTATTTGGCAATTTGCAGGAAATTGTTTTGGTATTAGCGGAATCTGAAAGTGTTTTCATTGTATTTCTCTTCTTCGGTCAGGAATTTCGGGCTACACAAGCCTTCAACACTTTAAACAAATCATTGTGCTGGTTTTTGGACAACGACATCTTATTAGTTCCACACATATCCAGCTACTGCAAAAAAAACTCTACGAAACAACATCAACTTCATCTTGGCACTTGGAATGTACGAACTCTCCAGAACAACAACTCAGTACCAGAAAGAAAAACAGCTCTGGTTGCATTGGAAGATAAAGAAGTACAACATTGATATAGCTGCACTGATAAGTAAGCATCATTCGACTACATGAAACGAGAAAGCAAAATAAGACATCTAGAAGTGTTCCTGCTGCACTTGGATACAATACATTCTCCTGTGGTCTTTTGTGCAATTCTCGAGCCAGTCTCAAAAGTCATGCCCGTCATAGGCAGGCAGATAATTAGTTTGTGGTCGTCGGAACCTCATTCGTCGAACTCGATGGGAGTGTCCACTATATATATATATATATATATATATATATATATATATATATATATATATACACTTTTAAAGTAATTCAACGAGTAAGGAAGAATCCTCAATAGAATGCAGAATGCACTAGATGGTCGTTTCGTTCTATTTTGGGACTCTTTATCAGTGTGAATACATTACCGAGAATCGAACACCGACCGTTACGGTACGACGCAATACCACTTAACCAACGGGCCTCGGTGACGAAGAGGCAACTAACTCGATACAGCGCCGCTCTCACTAAATTCCGCGGTGTAAATCATCCAAGTATACCTAACCCAATGGATTGTACACCCAAGAGCCACGTCTTCTTTCCCCAAGTAGCTTCCTCCAGAGCATTAGAACATAGAGCAATGATATAAAAGTGATACAATTATATATATATATATATATATATATATATATATATATATAATAAATAAGGCACCCTACCCTACCTTAACCTCTTTTCGAAAGTAAAACTTTTTTTGATACAATAGTTGTCAGTGAAAATGAATACCCTACCACCTCTTGTCAAAATGATTGAATTCCCTCGTATCCTTAAAGACTTAAATTATGAATATATATGTTTATAAAACTCAGTAAAATTCAAAATAAGTTATTCAAAAATTCCTTGAAAATGAAACAGAACTAGGGAGTTTAATTTAATTATATAATTGAATTTAAAGTTTTATTTTCTGTTTTTAGAATATATATATATATATATATATATATATATATATTTATATATATATATATATATATATATATATATATTAATTATATATATATATATATTATATATATATATATATATATATATATATATATATATATATTTATATATATATATATATATATATATATAAATATATATGCTATATTTATATATATATATATATAATATATATATATATATATATATATAAATATATTTTATATATATATATATATTTATATATATATATATATTATATAAAGATATATAACGTTTATATATATTTATATATATATTTGTATATATATTTTATATATATTTTATATATATATTTTATATATATATTATATATATATTTATATATATATTTGGTATATATAATTTATATATATATATTTCGCAGATATATATATATATATTTTTATCAATATATATTATATATATATATATAAAAAATATAAATATATTTTTATATTGGTATATAAATATTATATATATATATAAGAATATTTATAATTTTTATTTTTGTATATATTTGTTTATAGTATATATATATATTTTTTTTTTATCATATTTATTTTTTTATATCATATTCTTTAAAGGTATATTTAAATATATTTTTAAATTTTATATATATATATATTATATATATATATATAATATAAATGTCTTTTATAAAAGAAAAGTATTAAATTTCATATAAATAAACAAATAAAAAATCCTTAAATGGAATTAAAAAAAAGTCTTGGTGAACTTTTTATTTATTTATTTCAGTTTTTTTTTTTTTTATTATTTCCAATTTATTTTGAAATATTGAACTGATTTTGTATTTTTGATGAATATTTTCATTTGAAAATTTATTTTTTTTTTTATTTGTTCCATTTTCATTTCTGTTTGAATTTTTAAAAAGTTTTTCAAATATATTTTTTCATATTTATATATATATATAAAAATATATATTATATATATATATGGTATATATATATATATATATATATAGTTTATTTATATATATATTATTTTATATATATATATATATATTTTTATATATATATATATATATATATTTGTTTTTATATATAATATATATTTTTATATATATATGTACATATATATTTATATATATATATATATATATATATATATATATGTTATTCGTATATTATATATATATATATATATATATATATATTTATATATATATATATATATATATATATAAAAAAAGAAAAACTAATTTTTTTAGCGCAATGCTATCGTCCGGTGAGGATGGAACTGCAGATTTAAACCCGCGACAAGTATGAATTAGAATCTGACAGAATAATAGGATGAGGAACAAATAAGAAAAGGTTAATAATTTCGCATGTTTCGCTTCTTTTTATTATTGTCGCCTGCTCCATATTTTATGACCTGGTGTAGCTTCAACAAAAGCGAAATATGTTATATTTTCTAAACATTAGCTATTTGCTCCTTATCCTATCATATGTCATGCTATCCGTCTTTTGGCTTCTACTCCACCAAATGAGTGAAGCCTTTGAAATACATAACAACCTCTCCGCCTTCTGGCTTTTACTCAATTTTAAAGCAAATCTTTTTTCTTTACTTAAAGCAACTTAATTGGCTTCTTGTCTACCAAGTGAGCGAAACCCATGAAATACTTGCCAACCTCTCATCCAACTGGCTTTTACTCTGTCAACAGCGCGAAACCTTTGAAATACATAACAACCTCTCTGACTTCTGTCTTCTGGTCTGCAAACAGAATGAAACACTTGAAATACTTGCCAACCTCTCATCCATCTGTCTTTTACTCTATCAACTGAGCGAAACCTTTGAAATACATATCAACCTCTCAGCCTTCTGGCTTCTAGTCTACCAACTGAGCAAAACCCCTTGAAATACTTACCAACCTCTCATCCATCTGTCTTTTACTCTATCAACTGAGCCAAACCTTTGAAATACATATCAACCTCTCAGCCGCCTGTCTTCTAGTCTGCCAACTGAGCCAAAACCCTTGAAATACTTACCAACCTCTCATCCGTCTGTCTTTTACTCTATAAACTGAGCGAAACCTTTGAAATGCATATCAACCTCTCAGCCGTCTGGCTTCTAGTCTACCAACTGAGCGTAAGCCTTGAAATACCAACTTCTAATTCTTTCTACCAATTCATCAAATCCCTCGATCTTCGCAACCTCTCGACCATTATTCTTTTTCTCTACCATTCTTGTCGGCCATGAATGTCAGTTTCCTAACTTTACGCGTCTCTTCAACTAATTCGGACGAATCCATAATTGCAGGCGTCTTATCAAACGATCGATAAGTTTTAATTTCTGCTTTCATCACATTTGTTGATTCAGGCCGCAAACCGATGTAAGCAAATCTTATTAACTCTGACAGAGTGTTTTAAAAAAAACAATTTGGATCTAGCAAGGTGACCTTATGTTGTTGCAAATGAATATCTACTCAATAACTGCAGTGAACCTCTTTGCTTTCATTTTCATTATGTTAAATTATTACGTTAAAATGTGAGTGACAGAAGTAATTTCAACTAGGAACTAATTTCAACTCGGAACTAATTTCAGCTCGGAACTAATTTCAACTCGGAAATAATTTCAACTTGGAACTAATTTCAACTCGCAACTAATTTCAACTTGGAACTAATTTCAACTCGCAACTAATGTCAACTCGGAAATAATTTCAACTCGGAACTAATTTCAACACGCAACTAATTTCAACTTGGAACTAATTTCAACTCGTAAATAATTTCAACTCGGAAGTAATTTCAACTCGGAACTAATTTCAACTTGGAACTAATTTCAACTCGCAACTAATTTCAACTCGGAAATAAATTTCAACTCGGAACTAATTTCAACTTGGAACTAATTTCAACTCGATTTAAAATGAGTTATCAATTTCCGCGAAATCGTAGACAAAATGCAATGAGTTGGTGTTATTTTTTTGAATTTAGCTTTAAAAATCCTTAGTAGATAAGATAATTTAGAATTCATCTTTTCTGCAACTTTCATTCATTTTAATTCCGAGTTGAAATTAATTCTGCACCCCTAAAATATTACGTTAAAATATTTCTTTTAGCAAAGAATAGAAGAATTTGTTAAATTATAAAAATAGAAAATTTGGTTTATATATTGCGTTGTGACACTAATGAGGCCATGATCTGGTTAATATTAAGTAGAAGATGGAGAAGCTATGAAAGGTTTAAGGCTAATATGAACCGGAAGATAGATAGATAGATAGATAGATAGATAGATAGATAGATAGATAGATAGATAGATAGATATGAACAGGCTGAGATAGGCAGATATGAACAGACTGAGAGAGAAGGAAAGATATGAACAGGTTTAAATTTATAGATAGATATGAACAGTCTGAGATAGATAGTAACATATGAAGAGGCTGAGATAGATAGGCAGATATGAACAGATTGAGAGAGAAGGAAAGATGTGGACAGACTGATATATATGGATAGAAAGATGTGAACAGGCTTAAATTGATAGATAGATAGATAGATAGATAGATAGATAGATAGATAGATAGATAGATAGAAACGAGAGACATTTTCCCTGGTGACGAGAAGTGAAAATTGAACCATCTGGCTTTCTTCTCCCCCAAGAAAGGGATTTTCTTTTCATGTGCCGTGTCCCTTCAGGACGTAAACGATCATGGCCCTCCACTTCCTCCTATATATTGTAGCTCTCAATAAGTTTTGTCCCTTTGCTACTTCCCCGGTCATGTTCTGTCATCCACTTGCTTAAGCCCGCCAGATATATCATGAGTTGCTTTTCCTTGACTCTCTTCCCCTCTATTCGCCCTGTGAGTATCAGATTCTCCAAGCCTTCATGCAAGTGGTTACTGAATGTGAGAGAATATGAAAAATAAAACATCGTTAAGGATGAAGAAAAAGAAAAGAAAAGGAATTAAGAAGACAGAATGCTTACAAAGGATGTACGCCTGTTCTGTTGACCTTTCTTCTTTTATGTATCGTGTCCCTTCAGGACGTAGACGATCATGGCTCTCCACTTCCTCCTATATCTTGTAGCTCTCAATAAGATTTATCTCTTTGCTACTTCCCCCAGGCCATGTTCTGTCATATACTTGATTAAGCCCGCCAGGTATGTCACGCGTTGCTTTCCTTTGTCTCTCTTTCCCTTTATCCGCCCTGTGAGTATCAGATTCTCCAAACCCTCCTTTCTCATTACGTGTCCCAGAAATTTCAGCTGCCTCGTCCTGATGTTAAGTATAAGCTTCCTCCTTGTTTGCATCCTCTCCAAGACTTCATCAATGCTCACACGCTCGGTCCATGATATCCTTAGCATCCTTCTGTAGAACTATATCTCCGTTGCCTAGAGTCTCTTCTTCATCTTTGAGGAGACCGTCCAACATTTGCTGCCGTGAAGAAGGATAGATATCAAGCAGCAGTTAAGTACTCTTTTCTTTGTTACCAACGAAATCCTCTTGTCTCGTAATACTCTACCTAGCTTTTGAAATGCGTCTTTGGCCATCCCAATATGACTTCGGGCCTCAGCGTCGCACTTGCCGTCCTCTATCAAAACACTTCCCAGATATTTAAATTTCCACATCTGATTGATTTTAGTGTCCTCGACCTGTAAATCACATTTCGGGCTCATCCTTTTACTGATGACAATGCATTCTGTCTTCTTGTAGTTTATGCTTAGTCCCTTCATCTCGCTCTCCTTCGATGCCTTCTGCAGGACGTTTGGTAATTTCTTTTCCATGTCTGCTATGGTATGTCATCCGCATATTTATCTTATATATATATATATATATATATATATATATATATATATATATGAAAATTTCTCCGATTTAACCAGTAGAGAAGACAATATTTTTGAATAAAAATGACCATAGGAAAACTGGTAATTGCTGACGCGTTTCGTCCAATGTGGACTTTATCAAAGCAAAATACGAAAATGAAATTAAATGACCAAAGTAACTAATAAAAACAAAAACAGAATGTACCTTATTTTAAAAATGCTACACTCATAAAAAAAGAAAATAACTCACTCAGAAGGAAAATTCTGGAGAGTGCCGCCATAGAAAATTACCCAAATATTAATTTACGCCCAGGCTTTTTCCCTATTTCACCTTTCTTAACAAAATTACTGCTCTTACAAACAAATATACACAACAGATTCATAAAATCAAAAGAAAATGGTTGAATACATCAACACAGATATAATGACAATATTCTCCACACGTGACAAATACTGACGTTATTTTCAGTTAAAAATATGAAAATAGCGTTTCTCTACATTCCAGTTGCTAGGTACATTCTGTTTTTGTTTTTATTAGTTACTTTGTTCATTTAATTTCATTTTCGTATTTTACTTTGATAAAGTCCACATTGGACGAAACGCGTCAGCAATTACCAGTTTTCCTATTGTCATTTTTATTCATATATATATATATTATATATGAACAAAGTAACAACATAAAATACTGTGCGTATCTTATGTTGTTAAGATTGTGGCGGACAAACTAAAGGGATGATGTACTCAAAAGTTTATTTTTCTCTCTATCGAGGAATCTGACATACGGTGAAACGAACTGAGAAATTATTTTATCTCTTCCTTGAGAATTTAAGAAAATAAATATCGTTAAGAAGGATGGGGATAGGTCTGGGTTATATTTTCACTGACGAAAACGAATTGGGAAATTTAAATGGGAACGAACATTTCTTAAAAGTCAAATGTACGATAAGGCGGAAGTTACGAAAACAAGTCCTGTCGTTGGCAGGCGAGAGAAGTGATCTAGTTTATATTTTCGCTGGACAGAGATAATTCCATTAAAATTAATGACCAATAAAATTCCGCCTTTTCGCCTACGCGCTTTAAAAATTAGATTTGTCACAAAGACAGTTATGCCTACCCTAGAAAGTAGGCTGAGGTTGAATGCTGAGAAGGAAGGAGAAAGGAGGAGAATTTAGCACCGCCTGTATGGAGTGATGGTACGAGATGTAAAGTTAAGCAAGTTGGAGTTAAGAGGAGGAACGATCCCTGTAACTACTCCCAAGGAGGGTGGATAATTCTGCAAATTTGGAAAGCTGATTAAGAAAGCAGAACTAAAGAACAAAGAACCTTTACTGGGATTAATGCGAAAATTGGGGAATTATCGAATCCCTCAAACCCGTGGACCCTACGCCGGCTTTGGGTCGGAATACATATGAGCAGAGACCTTTGAGAGCTCAGAGACTTGCGCAGCGAATTCCCTCATCAAGTGCCTCTGTAATCCTCGTCAGCTATCACTAGATCTCCTGGCTCTGAAGTACTTTGAACCCAGCTCCTCCAGGATTTTTGACGAGACCCAGTGTCACTATAGCGTTTGATGAGGGAAGGGTTAATTTTTGTTGTACCAAAAACAACATAAACCAATTGAAGATTAACCCATCGATTTTTTCGTTTGATTTTTTCGTTATGAAGATATTTCTTCCCCTTAATATGGCTTCCGTCTAGCGCTCCGATTACTACAACATACGATCTTTCACTACTCTAAGAACACAACGTGGGAAAAGTGGGTGTGGATCGAAGCGGCCAGCGACTAACAGCCAGCTTGAACTAGCATCAGTGTTGACCTGCGCAGGGTTAGCCATCTGGTAAAAAGGTCAACTTCAAATGTTTATTTCATTTTTCCAGTGGACAGAATTACAAACGATAAAGGATGTTAGAAGACACTGTATTTTATCTAAAAATAATAACAACAAATATGAAGATACTAGTCGGAATGATGCGCTAAAGTTATTTTCAAAGTCCCAGAAAATGCAATAAGGAAGAAAAAGAAACCAGATGAAGAAAGAAATCAAATTAAAAAATGTCTAATAATAAAAAGACTTCATGTGTGAATCTCAAAACAACTTCAAAGCATTCCTCCTAATTTAACAGCTGAAGAAGAATAGGTCGGTTAAAAACGTTGAGACAAAAATCAACAAATAAAGATGGTGAAAGAAATCAAAATAAAAAATGTGTAATAATGAAAACGATTCATGTGCGAATCTAAAAACGACTTTTGTCCTGAGATAAAATAAATAAACCATCGATTCTTTTGTTTGATTTTTTTCATTATGAAGATATTTCTTCCCCTTAATATAGCTTTCACCTGGGGCTTCAATTACTACAACATACGATCTTTCACTACTCTAAGAACACAACGTGGGAAAAGTGGGTGTGGATCGAAGCAGCCAGCGACCAACAGCTAGCTTGAACCAGCGTCAGTGTTGACTAGCGCAGGGTTAGCCATCTGGTAAAAAGGTCGTGCTAAAACCCTGGGAACCAACCCACTAAATACGGTTACAGAGTGAAAAATCCTCTTTTCTCATCAATACCACATCTTACCAGATCTTACAATCTTGTGCTAAGAAGATATTTTCAAAGTCCCAGAAACTGCAACAAAGAAGGAAAAGAAAACAGATGAAGAAAGAAATCAAAATCAAAAATGTGTAATAATGAAAAAACTTCTTGTGTGAATCTGAAAACAATTCCAAAGCATTATTATGAATTTAAGGTTTCTGGAAATTGAAGAAAGCAAAGTGAATGCTTTGTGTGATGATGTAACTAAAAACCTAATTTCTAGAAGATTTAATTTATTATGAGTTATTTAAAGTCGAAATATATCTTACATTGTATGAATAATTATTTTCTTTTGTTTTAAAAGTGATTGCATTAATAATTTTGCATTGGTTTCAAAAGAAAATGTTGGGGATATAAAAAAGTTGGAAAAAGAAAGCAAGAATGAAAGAAAAAAAAGAAAGAAAGAAAACGCTAAACAATGACAGTGAAAAAAAGAAAGAAAGAAAGAATGAAAGAAAGAAAGAAAGAAAGAAAGAAAGAAAAGAAAGAAAGAAAATATAGAAAGAAAGAAAGAAAGAAAACGAAAGAAATAAAGAAAGAAAAAAGAAAGGAAAAGAATGAGAAAGAAATGAGAAAGAAAGAAAAAGAAAGAAAGAAAGAAAGAAAGAAAAAGAAAGAAATCAACATTTAAAGAGAAAGAAAGAAAGAAGAAAGCGAGCAAAGAATGAGAAAGAAAAAAAAGAAAAAGAAAGAAAGAAAGAAAGAAAGAAAGAAAGAAAGAAAGAAAGGAGAATGAGAAAGAAAGAAAGAAAGAAAGAAATGAGAAAGAAAAAAGAAAGAAAGAATGAGAAAGAAAGAAAGAAAAGAAAGAAAGAAATATTGCAACAGAAAGAAAGAAATGAGAAAGAAAGAAAGAAAGAAAAAAAGCAAATAGAATGAGAAAGAAGAAAGAAGAAAAGAAAAAAAAGAAAGAAAGAAAGAAGCAACTGCATGAGAAAAAAGAGAAAAAAAAGAATGAAGAAAGAAAAAAAAGAAAAGAAAGAAAAGGAAAAGCAACAGAATAAGAAAGAAAGAAAGAAAGAAAGAAAGCGAGCAACAGAATGAGAAAGAAAGAAAGAAAGAAAGAAAGCGAGCAACAGAATGAGAAAGAAAGAAAGAAAGAAAAAAAAGAATGAGAAAGAAAGAAAGAAAGAAAGAGAAAGAAAAGAAAGAAAGAAAGAAAGAAAAAACGAGCAACAGCAGAAAGAAAAAAGAAAAGAAAGAAAAAAAAGAAAGAAAACGAGAAAAACTGCATGAGAAATGACAGAAGAGAAGGAAAACAGAATGAGAAAGAAAAGGAAAAGCAACAGAATAAGAAAGAAAGAAAGAAAGAAAGAAAGAAAGAAAGAAAGAAAGAAAGAAAGAAAGAAACAAACAAACAATCAAACAAACAAATGCGCTGCGTCTACGTAATAAATAAGAGATTGTTCCGTTTTGATCGTAGAGGAAACCAAAGACAAATCAAAGATTATGTTTGATTACAATAAGAAAAAGAAAGAATTAAACACAACAGAATTCAAACAGGAAAGGCGTGCCATTTCCACGGGTGCTACTCGTAATTATGATTGGTTTTGTGAGCCCAACGGAATTGTATTTAAAAGTTGTCATCTTGCCAAATTGTTAGGCGCACAAAGGAACTTTTTGTGCATGTTTGTTTTGCAAATTTTTATTCTATATTATTATTATTATTATTATGCCATTTAATAAATGTAAATTTCTTTCACATTTCACACTGGATTAAGAACCTTGTCTTTTTTTTTCATTTTTTTTATTACTTTTATGATTACTTTTTGTTGTTGTTGCACCATTCAAAATACTCAGGAAATGAGACTTGACGTTCTCTCTTCTTTTTTTTTTCTCCCTCTTCCCCCACAAAAAAAATATTTTACCCTTTCCTCATTATGTGACCCAAAAAATCCAAAATTCTGATGGTAAGTATCCTTTTCCTGAAATATTTCACCTTGATCCTATTCTGTCCATGGTGTACACTTCATAACAATGAATGTCATTTGCCCGATAATTGTCTTCCCCGAAAGCGTTTACATCGAATCTTCAGTTTGTCGAATGTTTCATTTCGCCGAAAAATCCAAACGTAAAAAATTAAAAGAGAGATCACTGCTATATCCGAACGGTGCTTTTCTTAAATTATATGCTTGCGGCCACATCATGTTGAAACATTGGTTCCCGTAGGATCACTGAAGTTAAGCAACGTCGAGCCTGGTCAGTACCTAGAGGGATGACCGCTTGTGAATACTATTTGCTGTAAGCTTGCATGTTATAAAAGGGATTACGGCCACATCATGTTAAAACACCGGTTCCCGTACGATCACCGGAGTTAAGCAACATCAAGTATAGTTAGTACTTAGATGGGCGACCACTTGAGAATAATAGGTGCTGTAAGCTTTGAGGTGTGAGGGGGTGTAATGGGTAACGGCTCAGAATCGAAAATCGAGAAGTCGAGTTTGAATTCCAGTCGAAAAATATTTTCTTGCTTTAAATAACCTGCAAAAGGTTGATTAACCGTAAAAAAAACTAGATCTTAAATTATGCATTGTTTAAAAATAACACTCATTAATTTAATTATTGCTTATTTATGATAAGGAATGATTAACAAGTCAAGTTGGTTTGTTTAAGAGGATTGTTTAATGTCGAAATCCTTTAAAGGCAGGAAATTGGTGAGGGTGGGGAGGGCAACGAAAATAAAATATAAATAAAAAAAACGATTAAAACATAAATATAAAATTGTGGAGGTTGTGTTAATGGAGTAAATTATATTGATCAAAAATTGTTTAGTAAATTAGGCTGCGTGATGAAATTAACAATTTCCTCTCACATTAAATGTCAGTATTCAACAAACATAGAATAAGGACAATATGAGAAACAACAGTTTTTGCACAACAATGAATAAAATATTTATATAACCAAGAGGTACAAACAACTGGATTAAAGAGGTAGTTTTAAAAAGTTCAAACGTCCTTTTATGTTTCAGATGAAAAGTTATCAAAGTTCTGGTTTGATAGATTATAATTTGTTGAATGGCCAATAATGAGAAAGCGTATTTTTGTATTAAACAATCCTTTTAAACAAAACTTTTTGACTTGTTTTTTATTATTAATTAATAAATAAGCAACATTTATTAAATTAATGAGTCTTATTTAAGAAAAAATAAAAGTTCAATTCTTATCATTTAACTTATTCATAGGTTTACGGAATTAAATTATTGAGTCTTGTTCGAAGAAAAAAAATAAACAGTTCAAGTTTTGAAACTTGAATGTGGAAAGAGAATTGTTTGTTTTTTTCTCCTCCTTCAGTTTGTGAAACCCTTTTAGAGGTTTACTGGAATAAATAGCCAATCTTTTTCTTCTTTTTATTTTATACTTGTTCAAAGAAAAATTTCTTATTCTAGAATTTTAGTTGAAGTAACAAGTGGTTCAAACATTAAGACGGAATATTTACTTTGTTTGTGTGTTTTTATGTATTTTAATTGTTTGAATATATGTATACATATATTATCGGTCTTGATGTTTTTCTTTTTTTTTTAAGTAACCAAAACCTTGGAAAATTTGAATTGTTTGTTTCATAAAATATCAAAAATTGTAAATGCCAAATAACAGCCACGGCCCCCTACAAATGTTCTCTGAGCTGAAACGATATATATGATACAAAAAAACAATATAATAAATTATATGAGAATAAAAACTATCAACGAAAGAACAACAATTACTACTATTGAAGAAACCTTTATTTTTACCCACTAGGCTGCATGATGAAATTACAAATTACTACAATTTGAAATAGAAAAAAAGGTAAAACATTAAATGTTCAGTATTCAACAAAAATAGAATAAGGACAACAACGACACCAAATGGCGATATCTTCACGCCAGTTTTTTTCAAACAGCAATGAATCAAAATATTTATATCAAATGTCAATGCAGTTTTTAAAAGGCAAACAACTGGATCTCATTCTGCAATTAAAAAGAGATTTTGCCAGAAGATTTTAAAAAGTTCCCAATTAAACGTCCTTTTATACGCTGCGTTTTAAGTGGAATAAACCACCTCGTTTTATCAAAGTTCTTACACAACCAATTTGATAGATTATTCTAAATTTGTTGAATGGACAACACACATTTCGTAATAATGAGAAATTTCTTTGTGTTTTGATATTATTTAACGAACATTTTTTATAATTAAAAAATAATAAACAGTCCAAGTTTTTCCTTCAGTTTGTAACTTTCACCAGAGGTCTTCTCTTTAGAGAAAATATTGTTTACGACTCTTGAAAAGGTTTAATTAACGAACTGAGGTAAATTGTCTCTAGAGGATTTCAATATTGTTCAAAATGTACTTGTTCAAGAAAAGAGAATATTCTTTTTTGCTCCACACACGGAATAACTTTGTGGTTCTTAATGTTTTTCTTGTATTTTAATTTTATGAAATATATGCAATAATATATTATCGGTTGAGTTTTGTTTGCTTTTTCCTTCTTCTTTGAAAAAAGATTCGTGTATTGAAGTTGAATGTAGAAACTTGAGTTGAGCCACGGCCCGTAAAATAAAATATGGAAACGAAAATAAAATATAAATAAATTATATGAATAAAAATTGTTGAGTTCCAGGCTGGAATCATGTTAAGGATTAAATTTCAGTTTAACAAACATAAGAATAAGGAAATATGAGAAACAACAGTTTTGTACAACAATGAATAAAATATTTTATATTAAAAAAGTACAAACAATTGTTTTAATTTTAAAAAGTTCAAAAGAAATTAAAATTTATCAAAGTATTGGTTTGAATAATTTTGTCACAATAATGAAAAAGTGTGTTTTGAGGTAATTTAAAAAATAATAAAAAGAAAATTAAAATAGAGATATATTGTTTGGCGGAATTAAGGTTCTTTTGATTTGTTTTCACTTGTTCGAAAGAACTAAGAGTAAGTGGTTATTAAATATTAAATTAACGTTGAATTAGAAAGCTATTTTGTTGGTTTTGAGTTGATTGTTCGTCATAAAAATATTGCTTGAATGACATTGGAAAATGTTAAAAACTTGAAGCCTGGAAGTGTAACTGTGTTCCGATTTTCACTGTACAAAAGATTAATATTTTATAAAAAAAGGTGAAGCTTGATAGCTAAAAATAAATTAAAGAAAGGTCGATGTTATTAAATATTAAATGAAATTAGAATGAAAATGAAAGTAAATACATTGTGAATTTTTTCAATGATTTTTTTGTACAAAAGTTGATGCTGATAAAATTATTTTAGTGAGATGCTAAAAAAAATTAAAATTGTGAATTAAAAGCGACTTAAAATGCAATAATTTAATGTGAAAAGGAGTTTTTCCCTTGAAACGCTATGATTTTAAACCTTCCCTTCGACAATGTTTATTGTTTTTAAAAGCGATGATTAGAATTGTAATAATTTAAACATATGAAAAGTAAATCAATTTTTTTTTTTATTCTTGAGAATTTACAAAAAAGAAAAATTTAGATTATTTACAAGAATAATTTTATATTTACAACATTCTAAAAATGAATTCAATTAAAACTAATACAATGTAATATTTATCATTTACCAGTTTATTAAAATATGTGAACCAACTATAAGGAAATCCTTATTTACCATTTTATAAAGTTGGAATCAATTAGTAATCATCCGATTTTTTGCCAACCATTCCAACAATCTAATGAATAAATAGTGTTTATTATTTTTTGTCAGTTCTCAAGAACAAAGAAAATGTATAAATTCACTTACATATGGTTAGTTTTTAGGTTTTATTATAATTCTAATCATCGCTTGGCAATCTTTATTGTTTAAAAAAAAAAAGAGATTATTAGAATTGTAATAAAACTTAAACATATGATGAAAATGAATTAATACATTTCTTGTTCTTGAGAATTTACCACAAAAATAATAAACACTGTTTATTTATTTATTATACTAGTGTACCCGCGCCGTTAAAATTGACGTCAAGAAAGAATGTATTACAATATGTATTATATTGTAATTATCGTTTAACCCAAGCACAATTTTATAATTTAAAATAGTTCGTTGTTAAAGTTAATAATTAAACAGTTTACAATTTGTAAACACCTAAGGAAAGATATCAGTATATTATCCTCATAAATGTTACATATTTACAACCAAAATTAGTTTTATAGGCACCTCCAAAAATTCGGTATACCTAAGGTTTAAATGTGTTTTTCATAAAGGAAAAATCTTTTTTGAAGATTTCCCCCTGCATCAATTAAAAGCTAAAGGATTAAATTTTCTAATTCCGGAAAGAAAATAATGTGGAGTAATTCAAATAGAGATTTGAATGATTTTTAATCGATTCTTCCGAAAAACCAAAATCCATTTTTAACTTTTTTAGAGCCGGCCATAAACGAACTTATTTTTCGGCTTTTTGAAAATCCCGCTAAAATAAAATATACATTTCTGAAACGTTATTTTCGTAAAATTAGCAAATTTAAAGTTAAATTAATTTGTTCTGAAATAAATATCACTTACTTATAGAATAAAATTTTCCAGACAAACATTTCTTGACCTGGGTGTATTGATATTTTCACGTCACCGTTGATAATTTAATGGTTGAATGTGTTGACAGGTTTAGTACGGTGCACCAAAATTGACATAACGGTTTGTTTTGTTTTGATTTTTTTGTTTCTTATAATAATTTAAAATAATATAAAAATTTCTTACATTATTAAGTTACCTCTATAATGATATTTCATGATTTAATAGCTAAGACAATGATAAATAATTTTATTAATTATTAATATTACATTAAGTTATTACATTTTTAATTTAATAACTGAGATAATAACTAATAAAATTATTATTATATTAATAATTAAAATATCTCACTCAGTTATTAATCATTTAAATTGATAAATGAGATAATTTTATTATCTCAATTTAATTTTTAATTTAATAACTATGAGTGAGATAAACCGAAGACCTTTATATGTCAAGGGACTTTCCCTAAGGGGAAGACAAGCTTTGAAACACGTGACCTTTTAACCATAATATTACTTACGAGATACCATACTAAAAAAATATAACATTTTGACGCACAAAAAATATCTTCATGGTAAAAAGTTTCGGTAGCATGATTTGTATTAAGCTTTTAATTTTCGCTTAGTAAATATAGTCTTCACTTAAAAACTTGATAACCTACCCCATACTCTGTTTGAAAGAATTTTTAAACATTTTTAAAATTAAAGAAAAATTAAAAAAATTAAAAGAAAAATGCAAACAATTCTTGTAAAAATTCTTTATTCATCGATTTTTTTCTTTAAATAATAATGTCTTGAATGTATATTATTTATAAAAGCAAATAAAAGCTATCTAATTAGATAGTTTTATTGCAGCTTTTATTTTACGATTTGGAGAAGTTTTTAAA